TTTGATTTATTGTAGAGATGAGGTCTCACCAAGTTGCCCAAGCGGGTCTCGAACCCACGGTTTCAGGCAATCCACTCACCTCAGCCTCCCAAGACGCGGGATTACAGGCTGAGCCACCGAGCCCGGCATGATAAATATTTTTGTATACACTTTTTTCATTCTGTTTTCTTTAGGGCAAATTCTAGGATTATAATTCTTGTTCAGAAAAGAAAATCTATACTTTTAAGTCTTCCACTATGTATTGTTAAAATATCATTCAAAAAGGTTAAGCATTTTTTTTTTTTAATTGCCACTGGTAGGGTTCTCAGTCATTTTTAGAAGTCCCAAAATACATTATTATCTTATAACATTATTTTGGGGTTCACCATTGTGGAACTAAGTTATGGTTAAAACCACATAGCCAGCCGGGCTCGGTGGCTCAGCCTGTAATCCCAGCGCTTTGGGAGGCTGAGGTGAGTGGATTGCCTAAGTCCGCAGGTTCGAGACCCACCTGGGCAACTTGGCGAGACCTCATCTCTACAATAAATCAAAAAATCAGCCGGGGCGTGGTAGCGCATGCCTGTAATCCCGGCTACTCGGAAGGCTGAGGCAGAAGGATCGCTGGAGCCCAGCAGGTCGAGGCTGCGGTGGCCGGGAGCGGCCACGGCACTCCAGTCTGGGCAACGGAGTGAGACTCCAACTCAAAAAAAACAAAAAACAAAACAAAAAACCACATAGCCAGTGAGGCTTATGTCAGTGGGCCATCTGCCCACTAAATATTGCCAAAAATTAGCAAAGTCATCAGATAACATTACCAATTAAGATACATTTAGTGCGTAGTTTTTTTCTTTAAAGAAGCTAGAGCATAGCTGGGTGTGATAGTGCGTGCCTGTGGTTCCAGCTACTCGGAAGGCTGAAGCGGAAGGATCGCCGGAGCCCAGCAGGTCGAGGCTGCGGTGACCGGGAGCATGCCACGACACTCCAGCCTGGGCGACAGAGTGAGACTCCAACTCAAAAGACAAAAAACGAAGCTAGAGCAAATGAACCCATCCATGAACTAGGAAAAAAAATACTTGTGTATCTAAAGGGAACCAAGAAGTAGCTGTGAATAGCTGCTGTTGGTGGGAGCCCTCTCCGTCCTTTGCGCTCCACACTTTCCCCAGACAACTGTGTGTTTCCTTAGGATTCTTGAGTAAAGCAAGTGCTTGGATTGGATATATAGCAAATGACATTTTGTTATCATTATTGGTTTTCTAATTAAGGGAAAGTGTTTCATGTGCCCTCAGGAACTTTGTAGGTCCCTTCCTTACACAGTATCTAAAAAGGTCATACAGCCATACTCTGCACAGGACATTAATGAAATGCCTGGTATTACTGAGCTCTCCTAAATATGCCAGGTGCTGTGCTAACTGCTTCCCAGGGGAATCTTATAATAACCCTATGAGATAAACACTCTTATTCCTGTTTTATAGAGGATGAGTTGAGGCTTAGAACAGTTGAGTAACTTTCCTAAGGACACAGAGCTCTAGGAAGTAGTGAAATAAATCACATTTCAGAACATTCCTTTCACCTGTACAGGATGGTTGTCAGAGTTTTCTTTTCTTGTTGGGGGGGCAGTTGGAGTCTTATTCTATCACCAGGGCTGGAATGCAGTGGCATGCTCACAGCTACCGCAGCCTTGACCTGCTAGGCTCAGGTGATCCTTCTGCCTCAGCCTTCCAGGTAGCTGGAACTACAGGTGTGTGTTACCACGCCCAGCTTATTTTTTGATTTATTGTAGAGACAAGGTCTCACCAAGCTGCCCAGGCTGATCTCAAACCCCTGAGCTAAGGCAATCCTCTCACCTCAGCCTCCCAAGGTGCTGGGATTACAGGCTTGAACCACTGCACATGACTCCAGAGTTTATGAAACCAACAAATAACAGCAGTAACAAAAAACTAATAGCCTCCTCATCTACCTTGCAAGACGTATCTACTATGCTTTTGGTCTTATCACCAATACACAATAATTTTGGTATATAATATTTAAAAATTTTGATATTCATCATTTCACAAAATGTTATTTACAGATATAATACTGTTGCCTTTCCCTGTAGTTAGTTGGTGAGCTATGAATACTGTCTGGGGGTATCAGCCATCCTTGTAGACGGAACCAGGACTCAGAGAGTAGAACTGCTTTGGTAAATTCACTTTATAATCTCATGTAGTCATTGGGAATATTGAATATTAAAAGGACTGAAGAATAATAGGAGCTCCTTGGGCTGGAGCAGAAAAGTACAAGATGAACCTGGAACATCTTGTAGTGCCACAAAGTTAAAGAAGTGCTAACAAAGAGGGGGAAAAGGATGGGGACATGGCAAGAGGATGTAGGGTGACACGCTGGCCAGATCTGGGCAATTTGAGTCACATAGTTAAGAATCATTGTTATAGATTCCACCTAACCCATGGAATAAGATAGGAATTCATCAGTCTATAACTGAATAACAAGGCAGGCAGTGTCTCTGCTGTGATAGAATTTACATAAATTCAGATTCTAGTAAGTGCAGTGATGAACATAAAACAGGATAATGTGCTGAAGGACGAGTCATGAGGACTGTTTTATTCTATTGTTTTGAGCTGGAGTCTCATTCTGTCACCGAGGCTGGAGTGCAGCAGCACACTCATGGTCACCCCAGCGTCAACCTGCTGGGCTCAGGTGATCCTTTCACCTCAGCCTTTCAAGCTGGAACTATAGGTGCACACTACCACACCTGGCTTATTTTTTTTTTTTTTAATTGTGGAGACAAGGTCTCACAAAAGTGCCCAGGCTGGTCTCAAGCCCCCGAGGTAATCCTCTTGCCTCGGCCTCCCAAAGTGCTAGGATTCCAGACTGAGCCACCACTCCCAGCCAGGCTATTTTATATTATGTGACTGGGGAAGACTTCTCTGGTTTATAAGCTGGAACCAGAAAAATAAGAGTGAGTCAGCCATATCAGAATCTGAGAAATGATCATTCCAGGTTACTGTTGTGTTTAATCAGTGTAATAATATCAAGTATTTATAAGCAGTCTAGATAGGTCTTTAACATTTGAGCCTGGGGCAGGAATACAAACATATGTCTACATACTCTAAAATGATACAACAAAGTTTAAACTTTAAAAAAATTCTTTCTCTTTCTACCTTGACAAATATATCCTTATGGCGATCTGGAAGTCCAAGATCAAATTTAGAATTTTTGGACTTCTTGGGTTCGGTTTTGGAACGTGGTATCATGAAAAGACCCAGCCCCTGGTCTAGGAACTGTTCCCCTTCCTCTTCCACATTTGGCTCTATGTACTGCATTTTGAAAGACCTCACACATACTTTAGACCTTGTGTCCAAACTCCCTCTCTACTCCCAACAAAGAGCCATGCTTTGGGACCCCGGAGGTTGGGCTGCACCTAATGGTGGCATGGTTTACCTTCAGGAACGCTGAATTAAAGAACTTTAGGGTCCCAGGTATCTAGCCTAGAACGGGATGAGGAATAGGTTTCAAATGGGCACACTCCTTGGGCCCTAGATACTCCTCACCTTGTGAGGTGGGGCATAGCTAAAGGAAGTCCAGAGTGGGTTCCTGTGCTTGCTTGGGTTTCGGAGCTGGCTCCCCATTACCCAGATAGGAAGTACAATTGATTTTAGATTCCAGGATTGAAAACTTATTTTAGACTAAGGAAAATTACATGACATAGGTGAGATTTTGAAACTGCCTTGTGATGTATTCCTGCAAGATATTTTATAAAATGGAAGAGAAGTTGTATATTGAAAAGTGTTACTTGAACAAAAGAACCTTAATATTGTTCTCTGAGGTAGCTATACCAATATAGCAGGATTACTGACCAATGGTTTCTGGCAGAGAAAGCAGTTCTTTTACTGGGACCTGCTTAAGTAACCAAACAGATGTATCCTGAAGCATACAAGTATTTCTTACATATATCTGCTAGAAAAATCCTATCATTCTATTCTTGAGAAGATACTGAAATTTGCATAGAGGCAATAAAAACTGACACATAGATGGAAGCTTATCACATTTTTGTAATTTTGAAAGCCAATTGCATTGCTCCGTTATTACACTTTTAGGCTTAAGGACAGATTTTTCTCAAG